AGGAACGTCCTGAAAACCGTGCGTGGAGTTGGGACCCAGGCTTTACAAAACGATAATGTACTCATGCTTTAGATGCAAGGTGACACATTTCAATCAAAAACTTATTATGGTTGTACTGTAAGCATTTTAAGTTTTTATTTATTTTTTTAAATATTTGCGGTTTTTAGATATTCAAAAACGAGACTGGTCTCGCTTGTCGAATTTCCCCGTAAAAAGACTTAGTACATCCAAGTATCTCCTTGTTTAATGTCGTATATGCCGTAATTTTTGTACATTTCAACATTCAAGCCGTCCAATTTCTATATTTTTTCCCTTTTTTCAATATAAGTGAGGTGACCAATTGAATCTTTGCGCTTTGAATCTTTGTGGAATATACTCGTTATCTCACTTTTGGAAATCCGTCTGCTGAAGACCCTAGTTGACTGTATTGAAGTGATACTGACGTCACACTGACGTCATTTTGACGTCACATAAAGTTATTACGTAGTCGTTAAAACATTTTTTATATTCTTGAATTGCAAAAATATAGATACATATTGTTAATGCTGAACGTTAGGTTCATTTAAAACTTCGTAATTGTATTATACTGTGTAGGTATTTGATTAAATAGTTCGTATGAGTTTCATGTTTGTCGTAACGGTACTTGCAATCCGTCCAATGTGCATGCTGACGTAAAATGTACTTAAATAAACTCAAGGTGTAAACCAGAACTTTGCCTTTCGTTTTATTTTATTGACCGTGTTGAGAAACAAGTGGTATTCTGTCCTCTTTCTAAGCTCTGTCATCTTGGCCTTTTTCTAAGACCGTATTCAGTTTGATTAGCACACGTTAGTTAATCACCGTCCTAGCTGCTCAGACAAGCTGATTGCACTGATTGCACTTTAGCCAGGATACCTGCAGAGTTGGACTGACCCAATTTGTACGATCTGTGAATCTCAATACGCCCTATGCTAATGTCACACTAACCTGTCTTACCAAATGTCACAATGGCATCGATTTAAACTAATGCTACAAGGTACAGTGTATGGGCGCATTCCCATAGATTTTAGATCGAGCTATCCCCGTGGGGAGTCTCACTAGATCACTGTTAGATAATCCGGCTTAAATGTCCGTCCCGCCTACTACAAGCTGTAAGGGGGTTATTAACTTCCGCGCACGGTCGGCTGACTGCAATTTAGCGTGAACCCCCAGGGAGTTAGGTCGATCTAGTAAGATGTTTGGAAATGCCCTCTATGTTTCATCCTCACTGACACTGGTGTTTCATGATAAGGAACTTATGATTAGTAAATCTGATTTATTATAGTCAAGGGAATTTACGTGAGTTATTGCTGTCAACATTTTGTATAGTTTGCCTATGTGTGTGCATGTGCACTTAAACCAAGGGATCAGTCTTTGCACGGGAAGGTACACAACAGATGAATAATAAATAAGTAAAATTCCGACAAAGTTTCCAACATTTTTCCCGTAAATGGGTCTAAACCCCAAATGCTTAGCCGGAATGAAACATTCCGGAGGCCAATTTCTGAAACATGCCTGTTGCTGAGTTCGTTTCAGTCATTTCGGGATGCAGAACCAAATAAAACAAGAATGTTTCACGGAATTTGGAGACCTCGGGAAAGTGATGTTTTTCTATCGTCAAAGTACGAATTGAGGAAAGAAGCACACATCGAAAAACGTCATTACCTGAAGTTTGTTTTGCGTACATACATGTATGCAGTTTGCCATGGCCGCTATTGGCGATTTCTTCAAATTACAAAAAAATGTTCGTTAAATATCAAGCATGGATCGAGTTCGTATTTAATCAACTTGTTCTTTATCTTTATTTGTTGTTCATCATCACTATTATTATTATTATTATTATTATTATTATTATTATTATTATTATTATTATTATTAAGTAAATGAAGGGATATGTTGAGTGACTTCACGTAAAGCATAATATATATTTTTTGCCTTTTTCTATTTTTGTGAAAGTCGGGAAATGATTTTGTCAACCGAGCGCGTTTTAACACCATGTGCTTTCTCACGAACTATTTCATCTGCAGAACTACAGGTATCATACCAGCGACCTCTGATCTTTTAGTCATCGCTCTTTGTTAGTTAACCGAAACCGTGCTCTCAAATATGAAGAGTGTACAAGCCTCTATTGCATTTAGCATTTCGTTGCATGTGAAACCTCCCTGATCATTTTACGATCCAACGGACAATGAAATGTCACAAACGTGTCCTAAAGTCTGACCATAAGGTGCGTTAGTAGTTTGTTACAAAATTATTGTACGACCTATACTCTTATTTTGTATACTATTTCAGAGGCCCCTGATATCAGATGGTATGTCATTCACCAAGTGAGTATAATGTTGTTCATAGCTTGAATTATATAGTACTGACTACCTGGCAAAAGGAGAGAAAGCAACTCGGAATAGAACGCTCGGTTGGAAGGTTGTGGACAACATCACGAGCACGTGGATCCTGTCTTCAGTATTGGTTTGAGAGATCTCATAGTCTGATCCCTATGAATGTTAACAAACGATATTATATTTGACGATAAACAATGCACGATGGGTTTATTCAATCAACGCTGTACTGGTATGATGTCAGCTAATTGGTTTATTGAAGCTCATAAACTGCTCTAATACAAGGTGTTCGAAACGCTGTCTTAGAGATTTGCAATTTCCCGACTTTTGTCTTTGAAGTAGCCATACTTCGGATACGTTAAGGGATCAAACGTTTCTAGACATTAGAACTAAGAAAAATACTTCGGGGTGGGTGAGCCGTTTAAGGCCGACCAAATATGCATACAGGTTATTTGTACTTTCACTGGTAGTCGCCGAGGCAAAGGAAAGAGAATAGATCTGATTGATTGAGAGACAGGGAAAATATAACAATGTTTTAAGATCCCACGAGTTTCTTTTTCAAACAAAACCTGGCAGAAAAAATACAGAAGCTGTATTCCCTTTGGCGTGACTTACACCAGTATAGAAGGCTTTCCGTTTATGAAACAGACCATTGTATAGCAGGTGTAACGAACTGAGACGTATAACGGAAACTCTGCCCTCCATTTAATTATAATGGTTAGGGTTGGACTGACCTAAAAGAGTCTGTACAAATGAATGGGAGCCGCACTCTCTTTTATGGGGGACTCTATGTCATGTTACACCGGCGTCAAAATTGGTTCAGGATTCGCTCATGATAATTTTCCATATTACTTGTCCGAAAATGATACCGTGATTTGGAAGGATATTTTTCACATCCAGCGGTAGACTTAACTGGAGCCAGTCCATTTTGAGAAGTTCAAGCATATAATTACGCTTGATGTGAAGTATAGTTATTTTCAACTACGTTATAAGGGATATGAAATAAATAACAATTTCTTCCCAGTTACATGTATTTTTGCAGCTGGAAAAGGAAAAGGGAGAGAAATTGACCCAAACCGAAATAGTTTATTAACGCGTCTCACAAGAAGACCTATCAGGAACTTTTAGAAAGCACGGTGTGTCACAAGAGTGGAAGTCCGCGAGGGATCGTAGTGCGTTCCCAATTACATTGCACAAGTGATATTTGCCCCATATACCGACCCAATATACTGACACAGTACACTAACCCTAACCTGGCATATTGGACCCCGGACTTCCATTCCTAGGACTACCATTCCTGTCACGCCAGGGATCGACGTACATATCGACCCAAGACCGTTTACACAAGTCCACACAGGGCTCGCCAGCTGACTTTCAAGAGCCATTGCAGAATACTACTTAATCAAGCTGTTTAAATACTATCTCAAATACCAACGGACGAAACAAACACTCTCACGTACATATTGAACGCGTGCATCTGTATCATAATGCACTTGCACTGAGATAAAACTGAAGACGAGTGCGTTCGTGTAAGCCGACGTTTCCAAGCACACCAGTGAACAAACCCGCACGTTAATGTATGAGCATTATGTATATATTTATGAAGGCCTAACCTCACTAGATGGTGGTATATTAAATTCATGGCCAAACCACCTGCAGATAAATGAGTGTCAGGAATAGCACTTCATCGAATGTATGTGAGAGTAACTCTCGCGCATTCCAATTCCGACAGTGAACGAAGAAGGACTCATTGAGCTGAGAGTGCACGAAAACGACTTTGGACGTTTTGGTTCTAGTAGTCGACTTCACGGAGAAATTTGAAAGAGAATTAGCTTTATGATAACATATATAAAAGGAGGAATTTTGTGCGAGCTGTCTAATTTGATTCAAGCAAAATATTTTTCCAAAACAGACGAGAAGTCATCATTCATGACAGCAACTTAGAAGAGCAATTAAAGCAGTATTTAAAAGAAGATTTGTGACAGTGAAGTGTCTTTTTCTGGTATGTAAAAGGTACAAAAAATCAGGGGGTTCAAAAGAACCACCCTTTTGCCAAGAAAAGGTCCCCTCTGGGTAAATTGTATTTCTAGGTATACGAAGGTTTCATGGTAAAATTTAATCTGGAAAAATTATACAAAGTGACACGAAAAAATGATGCTGTAATTTTTTGGTGATATATATTAATTAATTCTTTATTATTTGGTTTTTTCTGTTTTAAATAGGAAGAAAAACGCCACGCTTTAAGAACCGTTCCGAAGACAGTTCATTCATGACATAGCTGTCGCGCACGCGGGCGTGCACACACATACACATACACACACACACCTCAAATTGTTGTTGCAAAAACGCGTACTGCTCCATCTTTCTGTTGCAGGAAAGATACAGTCAAACGACGGGCGCAGCATCCCAGAAACCACAATTACTTAGAACCAGTCCCCACATCGCTGTTGCTTCATCGATAGAAAAGTGAATCAACGGCAATCTGTACAAAAATAGTAGAACCTCGTAAGAACACGCCTACTAAATATAAGACTATGCAGCATGAGTGAGCCGTTCCTGGAACACACAGGAAATCGGCTTTGAGGTCCCAAAAGAAGTCATCGACCGCTGAATTCAAAGAATCAAACCAAGTATACAAATTTCGTCATGTACAACACCACCGCTTATCTCAGCTTCGACTTTGCCAGCTTGTACCCAGGCCTGTCCCCACAGGAGCTCTGCTGGGTGTATCAAGGAAATTGCTGGTGTGCCACGATCTACGTCCTGACCATCATTGGATTCGTGGGGAGCCTCTTAACCTTTATTGTTGTCCTCCGCAGTGAGCGTCTCCGCTCGAGGTCCACATTCATCTACCTGTTGTTCTTGGCGGCAGTTGACGAGTTCGTGCTATTATACCTCTCAGGGGAGTGCCTGAACTTTCACCTGAGCCCCCCTTCAACTGATCATGCCTGCGCGATCGAGTCTGTGGGGTTCTTCATGAATGACACCTTCGTGTATCTGTCCGTGATCTACGTGACGGCAGTGACGGTTGAGAGACTGATCATTGTAAAATGGCCGTTGAAAGCTGCATATCTGTGCCGAAGACGGACGGCCATCGTAGCGTGCGTTGTGACCGCGTTTGCCGTTGTGGTCTTCAACAGCTATAATTTATCCATGTGCTATGTCGGGATTGAAACAAGGCTCTCTATCCTGATAGCAGGCAGTTACATGTTCATCAGCATTCACTCCGTCTTATGTTTGGCGATCGCTGTTTTAACGGCCATCATCATCTTCCAACTGTCGCGCTCCAGTGCCAGACGCCGGCAGATGTCGACGGCGACACCAGCAGCGAACGCAGGTTCAGGATCAACTAGGGAGTCATTCGCCCAGAAAACCCACGTTTTGCTCCTGACCACGCCCATTTCTTTCACCATTTTGACGTGGCCCAAATATGGTTTTGACATCTGGTTGGCGACGATGGAAATGCAGGGGTATTCATTTGGCGAAGATATACCTATGATTTATAATGTTGTGAGAGAAGCCTTATATTTGTTGAGTAAAGTGAACCATTGTATTAACTTTTACCTCTATGTCGCCTCTGCACGTGTTTTCAGAAACGAAATAAGACGCGCGTTTTGCAGACAAAGGGAGGGCAGTGCTGCGGCGACGCCTGGATTGACAAAAACGAATCCACATCCAAATAACTTTCACGGTAGTAGATCAAGCGTGCGTACTGAATCAAGTTGTATCTGAATCGCCAATGCTGTTAAAGATAATTTAGGTAGAAGTGGCCTCATGAAGACATAAACGCGACATACCAAAATAGAAGCACGGGCCAGAGTTCGTGCAAGTGGAACGTTTTAAATTAAAGAAAATGTAGTCGTGCTTTAGATGCAAGGACACACATTTCAATCAAAACATTATTATGAATATACTGTAAGCATTTTAAGTTTTTATGTTTTGTTTTTTGCATGTTCCGATACGTGAATTTCCGCGTAAAAGGCTGGTTACATTCCAGTATCTCCTTGTTGTTTAATGTCATATATGCCCACAGATCAACACATCATTGTGCAAATAAAGCAGGGTGTACGTGCTTTTTGATCATTTATATTAAGTATAATTGCATGCTGCTTTCTTTCTACGTAATAAGGAACATAATCTGTGGTTCTTGTCTTTGTTTATTTTTTTGTGGACATTTTTTATGGTCTACTCTTATCTATTTATCCTGTACTTCCTAAGTGTATACGAATGTTGAGCATTCTGGAATTGGTTAAAAGTTAGAAGAACGTTTTTAGTGAACCGTTCCTTTTTAGTTATACGTGCTTTTTGCATTGATTTATTACAAATGCTATATATATATATATATATATATATATATATATATATATATATATATATATATATATAAATATATTGTAATTTATTTATTGTCTTGTGGATTTTTGCTCTTGTTTGCAAGTAATCGAAATGTATTTGGCTTTGAAGTGTTTTATTGGTATTAAACGAAATGACTCTTAATATATTGCGATTATTGAACTTTTGACGTGCAGAACAAATGCGAGAAAATTGTGACAAATATATTACGTCCTGTAGTTAAATGCGGGTTACTGTCAAGTAATTTGCTCGCACCTGCAATACCAATTTATTTGAATGAAGTCATTTGTCTCTACACAACTGTGTGAAATATACGTTTAATTTGAAGCAGAGTAATTGCCATGCGATCGAAATGACGGCAAAATTGCTCATCCTTGTGTAAACCAAGGGACATAAATAACAAGCTGTTGCTTCATCTCCCCCCCCCCCCCCACACACACACACAAACAAGTTTTTTTAGGAAAACACTGCATTTTTAAACTTTAAATCTACAAAGCTGTAGACTTTTTTCTTTTTTCCACTCCATCGAAAGTGCGTTGGTTTTCCGTCAGTCAGCGTCTAGTTGACAAAGACACTGATTACATGTATTGTGGGTCTTCAAGAGCTGCTCCCCCTCCATCAGTCATTATATTTAGCCTACAGACATTAAATGTTCTCTTTCAGGAGAGAGAGAACTACATCAGAATAAGTGTCAACTGAAATGCAAGTGTAAAGTTAGTAACTGACAGCCACGAGTGAATAAGGAGCAGGGAGTGTTTTGTAGGGTGACTGAGTTAATTAACATGCTCTTGTGATACTTATACAACTGCGTGTAATGTAAACGGAGAGAAGGCCGCTAGAGATTGTGTTAGGTAGCGATAGAGAAGGAGAGAAAGCGGTGCGGGAACTAACTGTGAAGTCTTTCATAAAAAATATAAAGGATTATAACAGAGTTGTATTTACAACTTCGCTTAACAGCATAAGACAAAGACAACAAGTTCGTCACACTCGTAAAGCTGTACCAACAACAAACTCTGTTCACTGATATGGACCTTGCTGTTTCAATAGAACCATTGGGCAAACATCAAGCTAATAACTTAAAATGAGACCTAAATTGCGACACATTCAAACCCTTCTTAATGCACCCTATTCTTGGGGCCACAGAGATATTTTCACTAGATATTCACTAATATTTCACCGGTTGATAACCTGCAGATATGTATTTCTTCACTGCGAGATCCACCAAAAATTTGCACAGAATTTTTGCAGAGATGACGTCATTACCGAGCTGGCCTCTGGTTGAGACTAAGGAAGGGCCCATTCCCAAGGAAATGTCGTTCTACGTAGATCGATTCATCTCCACGGGGACTCTCTCCGACTGCAATCAGATGAACGGATTAACACGTCTCCTCTTGTTTCCAAGGTACTCGTATAACCACCAGATGTCTCTGCGTTCTACCCAACGCCAGGAGGTGTGTTAATCAGTGCTCCTGATTGTATTCAGCGCAGGAGTCCCTACGGAGTTGGATAAAGCTACCTAGAACGATAGTATCATTGGGAATGAGCCCTAAGGAGTAACCATCGTAACCCGGTACTGTTATTAGTGTCATTAGGATATTAAATACGGGGGCCTGGATACAGGCTGCTGTCAACCGGACAATTTGACACCTGTTTAAACGTTGAAGTCAATCCAACATCAAATGTACAATGGAGGCGTGTAAAGACATGATTGACAATCGAGGAGAAGTCGACAAGAGGCGGATCAATAGATGGCAGCACCTTCATAACTCGAGCTTCAGGTTATTTCAGGCGCCCTCGAAAAAAAGACGGTTAAGTAATCGACCCAGGACAACCGAATAGATTTAATCATTGGTTTGAATATCGTATTTCGTTCCTAAATATACACTTAACGTCATATTGCGTAATTTTTCATTATTTTATGGAATCGTTTTTGAAAAACAAGTTTTTCTAATCTTCAAACAACTTTTTTCACCTTTTTTCTCAGTCCAAAATTGGTAGCATTTCAGCTGTTCCTTTGTCCCATTTCCTGCTACTCTGTCTCCCCCCTTCTTGACTGATATAGATAATTCGACCATTTATACATTAATAACAAGCGAGTCAAAGCCCTCATTAAGCCGAGACGTATATAAATTATAAATAATGCTAAATCCACGTATCACTCAAGGGCTTTCCGGTTTAGACAGATTTTATTCGCTCACCTGTCTACTGCATGTAAATTGTATGCTTTGGTGCATTCTGACTAATGAGATGTAAAGCACATTTGGAACAGCGGACTTACATAACCACGGATCAAATATTGACGACCCATTTGAATGCTTGTTGTGTAGGGACCCGCGGGAATCTATTCATTGTCTAAGCAGAAATTGCGCGTCCATTTTTTAAGCGGGTCGCCATATTTGATCCGCGGATCTCTTAGTCCGCTCTCCTGAATGCATTCTGTATAATTTGGTTCATTCTGAGTAAGGAGATTTAGGAGCCCATGCATTCAGAACAGATGATCCTCTGAACTACTGATCCGCGGATCAAATATGGCGAACCCTTAATGAAAGGAGGACCGCTAAACCTGTAATGGTCTCCGTGTCTCCACACGCGCCGTCACTGCAGGGGCCTTGCAATTAATCCTCGGAGCTGAGCTTTAATCCGTTAAATGGCGCTTGTGGAGGCGGGGAGACCATTGTGGGATTTAGCGGTCTTGCTTTCATGTATGGTCTGCCATATTTGATCCGCCTATCAGTAGATCCAATGATCATCTGTTCTGAGTGGGCTCTAAGAGTACCTGTCACCACTAACACATTTGCATGGACCTTTGTTTGTTTTTGGAAAACGGAATCGTTAAAAGCAATAAATATCCTTTTGTACAGATTCTCATATATGTATTTAAATAAAAACAAAATAAATTTTATATTCACTATGTATATATTAAATATTTGAGCATTTTGTCAGAATTGAGCTATGAAATTGCTGCGTGCAACGACCCTGCCTGATTAAAAGCTATGACAGTAGATGCATGTTTCAGAAATCTAATACTTATTCGGCGAAATAAAATTATTAAACAAAGCGCTTTTAGCAAATTTATGCAATTTCCAAATGCCCGCTCATTTTGTATTATTTTGAATATTTCACAAAGAATAATATCAGAAATAAAATAAGTCATTTTAACTAAATAAAACCACTCAGCAATTTTGAAGTAAAACTAGACAGCAAAGCCGGAAAATAAACAGACACCATACGGGAAACAAGGTAGCAAAGCTGGCAAATGTGAAAAATAAAAAAAAAAATCACAAGTAAGCAATAATTACCGTGAATGTAAACCGATGTTGCCGATTTTTAAAATCTGCCTGCCTCTTTACCAAACAAAGTCACTCAGTAAAAATGTATAACAGAAATACGGTTTAGAAGTTATGTTGAGAACGTCATGTGTCAGACAGCGACAGCGACAGCGACAGCTCCGACAGACAGACCAATCAGAATATATACAGACACTTACAGTTTCTGTATATACCATAAATAATTTTGACAATTATGGTACGAACGGCACTAAAATACATGCAAATTTAAATAAAACAAAAAAGTGATGAAAAACATCCAGTGTTTGTTTATGAAATACAATTCGATATTAGAAAAAACAGACTTTATTTCTCAAATACATGCAATCGTCGCACTTAATACCACAGCATTAAAAAGGCATTGACGTCAATGATGTTCTGATGAGATGAAATAGATTTTAGAACGCAAACCACTAGTTGTTTAATTTGTTAAGTATATGCCGGTTAACTAGTGAGAGTACTACTGGTAGGATACGAAAACGTGAGATGCCATTCGGGATGAAAAATTCACCAGCCACCTTCCAACGAATGATTCACTCTCTTCTTCGTGATCTTAAAGCGTGAGAAGCCTACATTGATGATGTCATTATCTACAGTGACACTTGGAGGGAACATCTGCGGATAATGCGTTCTTCGACATTTTAGTGAAAGTAAACCTCACAGTGAACCTTGCAAAAATTGACTTTTGTCATACTACTGTAGAATATTTAGGTCATAAAGTAGGTCAGGGTTTAAATACACCTATCATGTCTAAAGTATAAGCTATCTCAAGTGTATTTGAATGTTTCTTTACATCCCATTCTTATATACAGACCACAATCCTCTCACCTTTTTTCCACAAAATGTCTAAAAAGAATCAGATTGACAAGATGGATTTGTTGATACAAGAGTATGATATTCTTATTAAACACATTAAGGGCAAAGACAATGTCATAGTAGATGCCCTATCAAGAGTGTCGTGGTTGTATATATACATATAAGTAACAATATAATGACAATTTGAGATAAGTTTATCTTTGTAAAATTATACTTGTTTGGTTGATTTTGTTAAGTTAATAAATTGTTAAATTATAAATTGTGTTATTGATGTTTACTAGATTCAGGGGGTACTCTGAACCGAAACAATATATGCATTATGTATGTACTAATGGTGACCTCACTTCACGAGAATTGTAGATTGCAGTTTATTATCTAGTGCTAAATTCATGCCCAAACTATCCCAGATAAATGAGTGGCAGGAATAGCACTGCATCGAATGGATGTGAGAGAAACTCTCGCGTATTTCAACTCCGACAGTGAATGTAGAAGAACTGGTTGAGTTGAGAGTGCACGAAAGCGACTTTGGACAATTTGATTCTAGTAGTCGACTTCACGGAGAAATTTGAAAGAGAAGTAACTTTATGATAACTTACATATATCAGAAGGGATTTGGTGTGCGCTGTCTAATTTGATTCAACATAAAATATTTTTCCAAAATATTCTTGACAGCAACTTAGAAGAGCCATTCAAGTCGTATATATTTATCGCTGCAGCTTCCGAAGAAGATTCGTGACAGTGAAGCGTATTTCTGGTATGTAAAAGGTAAAAAAAAATATGTCTCAATATACAGAAAAAAGTACAGTATCCTGCGACACATTTTCGGTTTTCTCTCTCTCTCTCTCTCTCTCTCTCTCTCTCTCTCTCTCTTTGTCTTTTCCGTTAAAAGACTGTAAAATTCCAGAAGTAACACCCCAACCACATCTGACAAAAGATTTCGTTTTTTTTCCTTTTGTTATATTACATCATTTTGACAAACCAATGGCAGGAAATGGGGATGTTACAAATGATAAATAAGTCTATTGTTGAGTGAAAAAAATAGGTAAACAAACTAGACTCCCCATTTTTGTTTTTGGCAACGGGATGACGTTACTGGACAGGAATGGAAACGCCGAAAATAGTGCCATAATGTAAAGACAAATAAATGTATTTGTAAATAAAACGGATCTTTTTAAAACCTTTCACAAAACTTTTCAAAAGAATGATCGCGGATGTGATCAAAACATTAATTACATTTTGTACAGGAGTATGCTCTACCCATGAAAGCTGCTACAGAAGTTATGACGTCATATTGCCCCTTATGATGAAATAAAAGCAATTCTTTCAATGCTGGCCGTCCTTTAGGTATCTAACCCATAAAGGGATCGCCTGAAAACACAAATATTTGATAATCACCCAAATATGACCGAAACTTTTTTTAATTTCTGGGACACCACAGGGACCTTATGATACACCAGCACTTTTATGCAGGTCTCGAGCGCGTTCTAATTGTTCGANCCCCCCCCCCCCCCCCCCCCCCCCGCTGACGCCCATGTGCGGGGCATACTGACGTGACAAACAGTCAAAATCATAGAGGCATCAAGCCTAAACTCCTGAGATTGTAGAACTCTTATTAATTCGTTCAGAATGAGCAGTAAAGTCAGTAAATTCAGATATCCTACGTGAACAATATCGGATATGGGATAGTCTAATGTGTCAAATTGTTAAACAAAATTGACCCAATCATGAGGAAGCACACCTTGAACCATGTCATTGTTTAAACTGAAAAGTTCACGAAAAAATGGAATCATAATAGAATTAAGACGAAGGTTTTTTCTAAATGTGAGAATGTGAGCTGACAGTCCGTGTTTACTGTTGAAATTTTTTCATCCGTCGTACATTTACTCGACGCGGATTATAAAATCTTCTATAATCCACCCCATCCCAAGCACACCTTCGACTTTCTCTACGTTATTCGCCAACTGTTCATCAGTTACATTCGAACCATCCCATAAATCATCAACGCTGTCAAGCTCCGCATCCACTAACTCGCCCTCATAACTCGCGGCTTCCCACAAATTAGTAATGAACCCATCAAACTTTGTGTCACCCACAATAAAATAGTTTTAAGGGCACGGATGATGAAAGGAAGGTGTAATTTATAGGGGAATTCTCAAGCTGAAGCAATACCCTCTGTGCGTGATATCTATTGGTTTTCTGCAATAGTGATAATAATTATTATTGTACATTTAGTTTTACTTATAATAGATGCATAGCTTTTGTACATGAATTGTCCTGTAATTTCAATGTGTACATAGCTACTATTACATTCGCTATTCACCATAATCATTTCGCACTGCTATGATGTACTTTAATAAAAAAAACAGGTTTTGTTTACAAATACATTTGTCTGTCATTAAACTGCGTCACTTTTCTTCAGTGATTTTTAAATATATGATATTAAAATATCACGACCATTTATGTCCAGTGCGACGTCATCCCGTTCCCCTAAACAAAAATATCGAGTCTCGTTTGTTTACCTATTTTTTCACTCAAGAAAAGACTTGTTTATTTTCAGACATCCCCATTGTCCGGTGTTAGTTTGTCAAAATGATGTAATATAACAAAAGAAAAATCTTTTATCCGATGTAGTCTGGGTGTTGCTTCTTATGATCATGCATGGAAATAATAATTACCTTTATCTCTTGATGCATTCCTTTATATAAACGCATATGCGAACATTATTTTAAAAAATTGCAATTATTGGAAATTTAATCGGATACAATTATACACAGCGACGTGAAAAAGTGATGTTATTATTTTTTGTGATATATATTCATTTATTAATTTATTCGATTTTCATTTTATTTTTTCATTGTAAATTGGCAAGAAATACTGCGCGCTTTAAAATCCACTCTGAAGACAGTTAACAATTTTAGATGGGATAGCTGTCACACACACACACACACACACACACACACACACCTCAAATTGTTGCTGTGAAATAAGCCTCCTGCTTCATCTTCTCATTGCAGGAAAGATACAGTCAAACGACAGGCGCAGCATCCCAGAAACCACATCGCTGTTGCTTCATCGAGAGAAGAGTGAATCAACGACAATCTGCACAAAAATAGTAGAACCTCGTAAGAACACGCGTGCTTAAAAGAAAACTATCCAGCATAAGCAAACCGATTCCGGATCACTTCGGAAATCGACACTGAAGTCTCAAAAAAGGTCAACCTGGGAACTCAAAAGTTCGACACAAGTTTCATCATGAATACCACAACTGCTTCTGTGGGCTTCGACCTCGCCAGCTTGTATCCCGGCCTGTCCCCACAGGAGCTCTGCTGGGTGTATCAAGGAAAATGCTGGTGTGCCACAATGTACGTCCTGACCATCTTTGGATTCGTGGGGAGCCTCCTAACCTTCATCGTTGTCCTCCGCAGTGAGCGTCTCCGCTCGAGGTCCACATTCGTCTACCTGTTGTTCTTGGCGGCAGTTGACGAGTTCGTGCTATTGTACCTCTCAGGGGAGTGCCTGAACTTTCACCTGAGCCCCCCTTCAACTGATCATGTCTGCACGATCGATTCTGTAGGGCATGTTGTGAGTGACACGCTCGTGTATCTGTCCGTGATTTACGTGACGGCAGTGACGGTTGAGAGACTGATCATTGTGAAATGGCCGTTGAAGGCTGCATATCTGTGCCGAAGACGGACGGCCATCGTAGCGTGTATCGTGACCGCTTTTGTCGTCTTGGCCTTCAACGGCTTCAACTTATCTATGTGCTACGTCGGGGTAGAAACGAAACTCTCTGTCATAACAGCCGGCAATTACATGTTCATAATCATACACGTCATCTTGTGTTTGACGATCGCTGTTTTAACGGCCATCATCATCTTCCAACTGTCGCGCTCCAGCGCTAGACGTCGGCAGATGTCGACGACGACACCAGCAGCGAGTGCAAGTTCAGGATCAACAAGGGAATCATTCGCCCAGAAAACCCACGTTTTGCTCCTGACCACGCCCATTTCTTTCACCATTTTGACGTGGCCGAAATATGGTTTTGACATCTGGTTGACGACGATAGAGTTGCAGGGGTATTCATTTGATGAAGATATACCGATGATTTATAACGTTGTCAGAGAAGCCTTATTTTTGTTGAGTAAAGTAAACCATTGTATTAACTTTTACCTCTATGTCGCCTCTGCACGTGTTTTCAGAAACGAAATAAGACGCGCGTTTTGCAGACAACGGGAGGGCAGTGCTGCGGCGACGCCTGGATTGACAAAAACGAATCCACATCCAAATAACTTTCACGGTAGTAGATCAAGCGTGCTTACTGAATCAACTTGTATCTGAATCGCCAATGCTGTTAAAGATAATTTAGATAGAAGTGGGTCATGAACACATAAACGCGACATACCAAAAAAGAGGCCGGGGCCAGAGTTCGTGCAAGTGGAACGTTTTAAATTAAAGAAAGTGTAGTCGTGCTGTAGATGCAAGGACACACATTTCAATCAAAACCTTATTATGAATATACTGTAAGCATTTTAAGTTTTTATGTTTTGTTTTTTGCATGTTCCGATACGTGAATTTCCGCGTAAAAGGCTGGTTACATTCCAGTATCTCCTTGTTGTTTAATGTCATATATGCCTACAGATCAACACAGCAAAGTGCAAATAAAGCTTTTTGGTCATTTAAATTAAGAATAATTGCATGCTGTTTTCTTTCTACGTAATAAGGAACATAATCTGTGGTTCTTGTCTTTGTTTATTTTTTTGTGGACATTTTTATGGTCTACTCTTATCTTTTTATCCTGTACTTCCTAAGTGTATACGAATGTTAAGCATTCTGGAATTGGTTGAAAGTTAGAAGAACGTTTTTAGTGAACCGTTCCTTTTTAGTTATACGCGTTTTTTGCATTGATTTATTACAAATGCTATATATATTGTTTTTTATTTATGGTCTTGTGGATTTTTGCTCTTGTTTGCAAGTAATCGAAATGTATTTGGCTTTGAAGTGTTTTATTGGTATTAAACAAAATGACTCTCAATAATGCGATAATTGAACTTTTGACGTGCAGAACAAATGCGAGAAAATTGTGACAAATATATTACGTCCTGTAGTTAAATGCGGTTTACTGTCAAGTAATTTACTCGCACCTGCAATAGCAATTATTTGAATGAAGTCATTTGTCTCTACACAACTGTGTGAAATATACGTTTAATTTGAAGCGGTATAATGGCATGCGATCGAAATGACGGCAAAATTGCTCATCCTTGTGTAAATCAAGGGACATAGATAACGAGCTGTTGCCCCCCCTCCCTCCTCACAAGTTTTATTAGGAAAACACCGCATTTTTAATCTTTAAATCTACAAAGCTGTAGCCTTTTCCTTTTTCCACTCCATCGAAAGTGCGTTGCTTTTCCTTCAGTCAGCGTTTAGTTGACAAAGACACTGCTTACACGAATTGTGGGTCTTCAACAGCTGCCCCCCCCCCCTCCATCAGTCATTTTAATTAGCCTACAGACATGAAATATTCTCTTTCAAAAGGGAGAGAGAACTACATCAGAATAAGTGTCAACTGAAATGCAGGTGTAATGTTAGTAATTGACAGCCACAAGTGAATAAGGAGCGGGAGTGTTTTGTAGAGTAACTGAGTTAATTGACATGCTCTTGTGATACTTATACAACTGTGTATAATGTAAACGGAGAGAAGGTCGCTAGAGATTGTGTGAGGTAATGGTAGAGATGGAGAGAAAGCGGCGCGGGAACTAACTGTAAAGTCTTTCATAAATAATATGAAAGCTTATAACAGAGTTGTATTTACTACCTCACGTAACAGCAAAAGACAAATACAACTTTGTCACACTCGTAAAGCTGTACCAACAAACTCTGTTCACTGACATGGACCTTGCTGTTTTAATAGAACCATTGGGCAAACATCAATCTAATAACTTAAAATGAGACCTAAATTGCGACACATAGAGATATTTTCACTAGATATTCACTAATATTTCACCGGTTGATAACCTGCGGATATGTATTTCTTCACTGCGAGATCCACCAAAAATTTGCACAGAATTTTTGCAGAGATGACGTCATTACCGAGCTGGCCTCTGGTTGTGACTAAGGAAGGGCCCATTCCCAAGAAAATGTCGTTCTACGTAGATCGATCCAACTCTGCGGGGGCTCTCTCGGACTGCAATCAAATTAACGGATTAACACGTCTCCTCTTTTTTCTAAGGTAATCGTATAACCACCAGATGTCTCTGCATTCTACCCAACGTCAGGAGGTGTGTTAATCAGTGCTCCTGACTGCATTCAGCGCAGGAGTCCCTGCAGAGTTGGACGGATCTAGCCAGAACGATAGTATCATTGGGAATGTGCCCTAAGGAGTAACCATCGTAACCCGGTACTGTTATTAGTGTCATTAGGATATTAAATACGGGGGCCTGGATACAGGCTGCTGTCAACTAGACAATTTGACACCTGTTTAAACGTTGAAGTCAATCCAATATCAAATGTACAATGGAGGCGTGTAAAGACATGATTGACAATCGAGGAGAAGTCGACAAGAGGCGGATCAATAGATGGCAGCACCTTCATAACTCGAGCTTCAGGTTATTCAAGGCGCCCTCGAAAAAATGCGGTTATTAATCGATCCAGGACAACCGAATAGATTTAATCATTGGTTTGAATATCGTGTTTCGTTCCTAAATATAAACTTAACGTCATATTGCGTGATTTTTCATTATTTTATGGAATCGTTTTTGAAAAACAAGTTTTCAAATCTTCAAACAACTTGTTTTACCATTTTTCTCAGTCCAAAATTGGCAGCATTTCAACTGTTCCTTTGTCCCATTTCCTGCTACTCTCTCTCCCCCCTTCTTGACTGATATAGATAATTCGACCATTTATACATTAATAACAAGCGAGTCAAATCCCTCATTAAGCCAAGACGTAATACTAAATCCACGTATCACTCAAGGGCTTTCCGGTTTAGACAGATTTTATTCACTCACCTGTCTACTGCATGTTAATTGTATGGTTTGGTGCATTCTGACGAATGAGATGTAAAGCACATTTGGAACAGCGGACTCACATAACCGCGGATCAACCGATATACCGAAGATTTGAATGCTTGTTGTGTAGGGACCCGCGGGAATCTATTCATTACCTAAGCAGAAACTGCGCGGCTATTTTTAAAGCGGGTCGCCATATTTGATCCGCGGATCAGTTAGTCCGCTGTCCTGAATGCATACTGTATGGTTTGGTTCATTCTGAGTAGGGAGATTTCAGAACAGCTGATCCTCTGATCTTCTGATCCGTGGATCAAATATGGCGGACCCTACATGAAAGGAAGACCGCTAAATCCAGTAATGGTCTCTGCGTCTCCACACGCGCCGTCACTGCAGGGGAGGCAGGGAGACCATTGTGGGATTTAGCGGTCTTGCTTTCATGTATGGTCTGCCATATTTGATCCGCCTATCAGTAGATCCAATGATCATCTGTTCTGAGTGGGCTCTAAGAGTACCTGTCACCACTAACACATTTGCATGGACCTTTTTTGTTTTTGGAAAACGGAATCGTTACAAGCAATAAAATTCCTTTTCTACGGATTCTCATATATTTATTTAAATAAAAACAAAATAAATTTTATATTCACTATGTATATATTAAATATTTGAGCATTTTGTCAGAATTTGGCTATGAAATTGCTGCGTGCAACGACCCTGCCTGATTAAAAGCTATGACAGAAGATGCATGTTTAAGAAATCTAATACTTATTCGACGAAATAAAATTATTAAACAAAGCGCTTTTAGCAAATTTATGCAATTTCCAAATGCCCGCTCTTTTGTATTATTTTGAATATTTCACAAAGAATAATATCAGAAGTAAAATAAGTCATTTTAACTAAATAAAACCACTCAGCAATTTTAAAGTAAAACTAGACAGCAAAGCCGGAAAATATACAGACACCATACAGGAAACAAGCTAGCAAAGCTGGCAAATGTGAAAAAAAAAATCACAGGTAAGCAATAATTACCGTGAATGTTAACCGATCTTGCCGATTTTTAAAATCTACCTCCTCTTTACCAAACAAAGCCACTCAGTAAAAATGTATAACAAAATACGGTTTGGAAGTTATGTTGCGAACGTCATGTGTCAGACAGCGACAGCTCCGACAGACAGACCAATAAGAGTATAATCAGACACTTACAGTTTCTGTATATACCATAAATAATGTTTGACAATTATGGTACGAACGGCACTAAAATATATGCTAATTTAAATAAAACAAAAAAGTGATGAAAAACATCCAGTGTCTGTTGATGAAATACAATTCGATATCAGAAAAACAGACTTTACTTCTCAAATACATGTAATCGTTGCACTTAATACAACAGCATAAAAAAGGCAGTGACGTTAGTGATGACGTCAGCTTGTAGGCAGACACAGTCCATAAATAACATTAACCGGATCAAGCATGTAGGGATGAAAAAGTCGTGGAAATGCTCAACTTAGTTTCCTTTTCAAATATATATTACAATTAGTTTTAACCCTTAAGGAGCCTTTTAGTAGGGTGTTAGTTGATCGTGTAGGACTTTTTCCTAGAACTAGGTCAGAGAACCAGTATTTACTTACCATAATGTGTACCTCCACTCGATTCCCTGAAGCTAAACCCCTAAGGACTATTAAGGCAAAGGCCATAGTCAAGACCCTTACTAAATCTTTCTGTTTTGTAGGCACACTCAAGGCTATTCAGTCAGATTAGGTTTCAAACTTTATGTCTGGGTTGTTTCAGGAGGTCATGCATGAATTAGGTATCAGGCAGTATAAGTCTTCTGCTTTCCACCCTGATGCACTTGAACGCTTTAATCAGACCCTAAAAAATACTAAAAAAAACATCATGTTGCCAGAATGAAAAAAACTGAAATGAAGGGATTCACTTTGTGCTGTCTGCTGCACGAGAAGCTGTTCGGGAGACCCTGTTCAACTAGTGTTTGGTCATACTGCCAGGGGACCATTGCAATTATTGAAAAAGAAATGGCTGACTGAGACTAGCGATGTTAATCCTTTAGACTGTCTCTC